GAATATAGCCAGAAAAAGTGCTGACGGGGAGAAATAAACACATTCTTATTTATTAGACGAATATATTAAAAGAATAATTTTAAAATAGATTGATTTAGTTAAATAAAGAAAAGGATGATTAACATATGATTAAATAATGATTTATATTTTTTAGTTTAAGAGCCCGAAAAAAATTTTTTTCTAAATTTTTGTCTAAGAAAAAATAGAGTAGTTAACCCCGAGGGTGGTTGATCTGCCAAAGAACAAAAATAAAAAAAAATTTTCTTTCAAAGGGAAAAATAATTTTCAAGGGTACATTAAAATAAACAAAAAAAAATATTTTTCTATTTTTAGGGTCAAACAGAGATGTTCTAAAAAATTCCTAGACAAATCAGTTTAAAAAAGAAATTAATTATTTAATAAGATTTGGACTAAAAATGATTAAAAGTATCCAAAAACACCTCAAAAAATTTTTAAAAAAAATTTAAAAAAAATTAAAAAAATTTAAAAACCAGCCTCATTCCCCTCCTTACTGCAATAACCACCACCAACACCCCCTCCACCATCATTAAAGACATGACGTGCACCATTTAGCTTATTATTGTTGTTATCATCGTTTAAAACAGACATATAGGGCCCATTCTTTTCGAAGACTTTCATCTCCTTAAATAAATTTTTTTAATTTTTAAATTAAAGGTAAAAATCGTTTTTTTAGAAAAATTGATGGGAGAGGAAAAAGTTTGGCCACCAACCGGAATCGAACCTGTGACCCTAGACCAAAAAGCTAAGGTCACTACCGACTTAGCCACAGATTCCATATTTTAGTTACTTATTCAAATGACCCGAACCCTCTCGTTAAGCGTTTCAGATTGGGGAGGGGGGGGGATCAAAAAATCTTTTCGGGACAAAAAAAATTTTTGTTCAATTAAATAACCCGAGGGAAAGTCTTAAAAACAAGTAGACACTAAAAATAATTTTTTAAGCATTTTAAAAATTAAAAGGAATGAGTCAGTCAGAATTCCCAAAATTAGTAAAAGTGAAATGACAAAAAAATAAGCGTTCCCTCCCAACTTTAATAAATTATTTAAAAAAAATAAAAAAATAACCTTAAATTGTTTTGACGAGCCTGGCCCTGGCTTCAGTGAAAATAATTAAAAATTTAATAAAACTTTTGCTGAAAAAAAAATAAAATTTAAAATTTGTATGAGTAATAATATTAATGTGTGTCATTTTAAGAAATGACACACAAAAATTAAAAAAAATTTTTTTAAAGCAATTAAAAAGTGAAGGAGGATGTTGATAAATAAAGGAAAAGTAAAAGAAATAAAAAATTATTAGTGTTATATTGGGAATGGACAAATAAACACACAAAAGTTAGTTTGAGGGTTTGAAAAAAATGTGTGATTACAAATTGTTTGGATGGGGGAAGGGATGGGGGAGAGACTTTAACAACTAAACAGTCCCTCTCTCCCCTTAAAACAGTTAGAAAAATACCCCCCAACAAAGTATATTAACAATAAAAATGAGGGAAATGAGGGAAGGTTTTTGTAGAATGGTAGGGGGAGGTTGAGGAGGTATTGGGACTTTAAGGCTGGGGTTGTTAGGGCGTCGCTGTCCTCAGAGTTGATATTTGCGGACAATCACCAAGCAGTTGCGGTTAATAAATATTTCGAGGAGCCTGCTTTCAGTTTTTTCAGGAAAAAAATTTTTCTAAAATTTGTGAAGACCAACCAGAGAAAATGAAGGGGTCCAAAGAAAAATTAGAGAGTAATTAAAGCTAGCGCCCAAAGTAACCCCGCGCCTTAAAAACCAAGAGAGGTGATTGCGTTATGTCTTCCTCTATATATTAAAAATTAAGTCTCTCTCTCCTCTCTATTTATAATCCAGAAAATGTGTAAAATAAATAAAATATATACAGGGTGCGGCAAATTTTCCGCCCCTTTTGTTTTTGCCATAACTTTTTTCAAAGTCAATGAAAATTGATAATTCTTTTTTTATTTTATTCCCAACACTCTAAGAAAATTTTTGGTACCAAAATATTCTCAAAATTTTCAAAATTACTTTGATTATTTTGTCTTAAACTTTTGGCAAAATTTTTTGGACCAAAAGTCGTCTGATTTAAATGCAGGCTGTCTGATATGAGGGAAGTTTATTTCATTCGAATAAGCTCTTTAAGCTGATTCGAATGACGTCAAAACAAAGCGATTATCTTGTTCTTGAGCTGAGATATGGGCCTTTGAATGATAAATTAGGAAATAATGACTTTTTTAGGTGAAATTTTCAAAAATCTAATTATAGACTATTTCGATGCTCCTCGTCGAGACAAGTCGATTGGTACCAAAATTAGTCAGATTGGGTGACTTTGAGCGGAGTTATGGCAAAGTAAACTTTGTCATGAAAAAATATTTCTTGATGCAATTTATAGACATTTTCGGGCATATCTTTATTATCTGTAAACCAAATTTCTAATTTTGGGTATCAAAAAGTTTCTTAGAGTGTTGGGAATAAAATAAAAAAAGAATTATCAATTTTCATTGAAATTGAAAAAAGTTATGACAAAAACAAAAGGGGCGGAAAATTTGCCGCACCCTGTACATAATCTGATTAAAAAAATATGGGGGGAATTATAAACAAATGTTTGTAAAAATAAGATTGTGTAAAACGTACTAAAATGTTTTAAGAGAAATATAAAAAAACACGAGAAAAAACACGAGGGTTTTTAGAGTTTTAAAAAAGTCATATGCAAAGAATCTGCAAGATAAATAGTTAAAAAATAATTTTAAAAAAATAGGGAGGAGTTGCAAAAGTTTGGGTACTAAAAGGATTCGAACCTGCAACCTCCAGTAAGAAAGTTGGAAGCGATACCGACTTAGCCAACGAGACAACATTTCAGAATATTTATTTAATTAACTTAAACCTTCACAGAAATCTTTTAAATATCAGAGAAAATTATAAATTGAAGGAATAATTATTCTAAACAATTTTTAAGAAAAGTTTTATAAAATTTAAAAAAAGAATATATTAAGAAAATATTCACAGAAAAATTTGAAAAAGTTTTTAAAATAATTCGCCAAACATATAAAACTTTTTTTTAATTAAAAAATTAATTTTAAGATAATTAATTAGGTATGGAAAGGAAAGCAGACTTACTAATCTTTAGAAAATGAAAAATTAAAAAAAATTTTTTGGAAGAAAAAAAATTTTGGAAGAAAAAAAGGAAGAAAAAAAATTTTTTTACATGCAAAATGGACTTTTATCTTGTTTATGATTTTGTTTTGGTAAACATTTTAAACGTTATCTATTGACTGGGTATTTACTTCCATATGATTTATTTAAACTATGATGAGATAAAAAATGTTAAAATTTATTTAAAAAAATGTTTTAAAACAAAAGAAGAAAATAAAAAATAATTTTTTAACTAAGAAAAAAATTTTTAAAAAAGAATGCAGGCAACAGGAATCGAACCTTCCACCTTCTCCCCACAAAGTTCAAATCACTACCTACTGAGCCACCGAGGCCACAACATGGGACTTTAATAAAATAAACTTTAATAATGAAGTTAAAAGTCCATTTTCCTTTTTTTATTTTTTTTAAATTCCGGTTAAATTTTTACGTAAACAAAAATTGTTGTACCAAAAACGCACTTGAAAGATTGTAAACAAAAAATTAACCTATATTACTAATTTTGGTAAATTAACCCCCCTTTTTATTTTCTTTTTTAATTTAATTTCTGGCCAGTGTTAAAATAAATGAACTAAACAAAGAAAAGAAAGAATATTTGCGGACTGGAATTTTGCGGACAAATTGAATTTGGAAATATTTGTCTGATTTTCAGGGGAATTCATGGAAAGTACTAGGATTTCTGGGGAAACTCTTTAGAGGCTTCATTTTGGTCACCGATTTGTCTACAAAAATGTCCGCAAATCTAACAATAAGTCTAACAACAATTTGCGGACAAAAAACTTGCGGACAAGGTGGACTCGGAAATGACCTATTAGAGGCTCCATCTTTTCATTTTCTTCCCCTATTTTCCCTTTCCCGTTCTTAGAAACTAACTCAACCGAACACGTTGTTCAACCTCTATATTTCATTTACAGTCCGCAAGTGTTTGTCCGCAACCTTTCCGAATCAAAAAAAGAAGGGAGAAAAGACTGATTAAAAATTAAAAAGTGATGAATTAATAGGGAACGTTTAAAGTTAAAAAATTCAAAAATTGGGTTAAAAAAGAAGAGAGAAAAGTTGTTGGCGTTATTTTATCAATTTTTATCGTCATTGATGTTCTAAATATTTTTTATGTTAGCATTAAAAAATGATGCTTTTCTCTTTACTTTTTTGGCCTTGAAAGGGAAGAAATGATGGGAGAAAGATGATGGGAGAAAAAATATTCAAGGAAGGTGGAGGGAGGGGGGAGGGAGGAAGGGGGGGGGAGTTGGCTGTTAAATAGTCTAATATAAACTATAATCGAAAAGTGGGTCACAAAATATGTATTAAAAATTGGGGGGAGGTTCTGATTATGAATTTTGATTATTTTAATTTTTTCTATTTAAAAAATAGGAGAAGAGAGAAAAAAAGAGAAAAAAGTCCATAAGAAAAATCCGCAAGAATTTGCCGCAAAACTTTTGCGGCAAAAGTGCAAGCCTAATGAAGAGTCGAAAATTTAAATGCCGTAAATCCTCTAATAGAACTACACTCGCTCCTATTTTCAACCCTCTCGAACAGGGCTGGGCGCAATTGAAAAAAAATTCCCGCAGCCGCAATTTTAATTTTAAAATCCGCAAGTCAAAAAACTTGCGGATTTTATGAAAAAGTGGGGCTCTATTCGAGAATTTACGCTCCGCAAACGGACACCCTCCCTCAAATAAAGACAAAAATTTTACAAATTATAAGAATGCATAGTTAAAGGTATTTAAAAATAAAATTTTATGAGTTTAAGAAGTAAAAAAATAAAATTAAACGTTTATTCAAAAATGATGCAAAAGGGTCAAAAGAGTATACAAATTAAAATAAACAACATTCAATATTTATTCATCAGCCTCAGCATTAACAAAAGGATTCGCAATTTGTTCAATTCCATCATTTGGAGCTATAACAGTTATGGCTGTTCCTGAAATTAAAAAAAAATATATTTTGAGAAGGGAATCCTTTACTTTAATGGTCCCTAGAAAAAAATGAGTAATGAGTGTTTTTTGATATTTTTCAGCAGGTAATCGATGGCAACGCCCGAATGAGTCCAAATTTTTATTTACTTTGAAACTCGAACCAGAATTAGACCCGATCAAGAAACCTCAAAAATATCCTACTCCTTTCCTTCTAGAGGCCAGAAAAGCAAATCATTAACAAAAAGTCAAGAAAGAAAATTTTTAAAAATAAAAACCTCTAGCGACAATTAATCCCAAACTTTTAGTTTCATCGGTTACTCGAAGAGGGTCTTCCGGATCCCTCAAATATTCAATTGCGTTGTCCAAAACTAAGTTTAACAGGGCATCGTATCCCTTTAGAATTCCGGAAGCTGAAAATAAAAAATAAAAAAGTTTAAAAGAATAAGAGAAAAAAACCTTCTCTGCCTCCCTGAAGCTTAATTCGAACACTTTTGTCAATAAAACGTGAAAGGTCGACAATACTTTCTTTCTTCTTTTTATTTGCGTCGTCTATAACCATTAGAAATTATAGGAAATTACTTTAAAAACTAAAAAAAATTTAAAAATTAAAAAACAAAATTAATAAAAGCACTGGAATGAAGAAAATTTTAAGTTGACAATATTAAACAATTTTCCCGTCTTAACATTTTTAAAGTTGATATTTTGAAAAATACATTTTTATAAATATTTTTTCTTTTTTCACTATTACAATACTATTTTCATTTTCTCTAACTATCTCGCCTGTATGTCTCTCAGTTTTTCATCATTCTCTCTCATTGTTCTTTCTCTACTTTCTTCTTTATTTTTTGTCACACTTTTTTCGAGAATCTTTTAAGAAATTTTGAAGAACTTGTCTTCTTTTTGGGGGTTTTTTTTGGGTGTTTTGATGGGTTACGTGACTTTTGCGCCGAGAACATTTGCGCCGCGACTCTTGCGCCGCGACTTTTGCGCCGGGGAACCTTTGCGCCGCGACTTTTGCGCCGGGCGACTTTTGCGCCGCCACTATCATTAAAAATATATCAATAACTCAGCCGGACCTCACTTTAGTAGGGTTGTCGGATAGTTGGAAATCTTCGGATATCCGGATCCGATATCCGAACTGAAAATTTCGGATATCCGGCATTTTTCGGATCCGGATTTTTTTAAACAATGGCGGCGCAAATGTCGCGGCGCAATAGTCATCCGGCGCAAAAGTCGCGGCGCAAAAGTCGCCCGGCGCAAAAGTCGCGGCGCATAAGTCGCGGCGCAAATGTTCTCGGCGCAAAAGTCGTGATACCTTTTGATGGGGTTTCCAGTTTTTCCTTGTTAATTTCTTGTTAATTTTTCGACTTTTTATTTTAGTTGGAGAGTAGATTCTGCCTATTCTTTCAAGTAAAATGTTCAACCTGCAAGACAGAATTAAGGGTATTGATATGGACCGTGACTATCACGCTACTCGTATTTCTATTCGAGATAAATTGCTTTCTCAAGGTTTCTTTTTTTAATTTTTTAATTTAATAATCGTTCAATATCTTCAAAGAAATCAAGCAACTCGAACAAAATCTTCGAGATCTTCCAACCTGCAAATTAACTTTTCCGTCAACTTCAAAAAATGGGGAAGTTAACCTTCACGAAATGGACTTGATTGTTAAACCAAACACGGGTTTGTACAAAGGAGGAGTTTTTAAATTTAAAATTACTGTTCCTCCAGAATACAATAACGTGGTTTGTTTTGATTTTAAAGAGCTTTATGTTATTCTTTTTTAAGCCGCCATTAGTCAAGTGCTTGACTAGAGTCTGGCATCCTAATATCAACGAGGATGGAAGTATTTGTTTAAGTTTGTTGCGTCAAAACTCTCTGGATGGATTCGGTTTTTATTTTTCTCAAAAATTAAAAAAATCTTTAAAAATCGTTTACAGGTTGGATGCCTACTCGCCGTATTCACGACGTTATTCTGGGCCTTGACCAGCTTTTTACCGACCTGATAGACTTTGACGATCCTCTCAATGCTCAAGCTTCTCAACAATGGCAAAGCAACAAGGTTTTCTCTTTTTTTTAATTTGAGAATGTTTTCAAATCTCTTTTTTAGGAGACATTCGCGGCTAAAGTCAAGGAGTACATAAACAAGTATTGCCCAAAACATTGAAGAAGACAATTGCTCGAAGATGCTTTCTATGGAATCATGGCCTATCATATTTTGTTTTGAGAAGAAAATATACTTTATGTTGGGGTTGACCCCGATCCCGAACGATTTTGTTGAATTTGACCTGGACATCCGCAAAATCTTCCTCTGATCTTATTGTTAGACCCACCTGGTAATAGTGTACAAATACTGGGAAAAAGCTTGGGAAGGAAAGAATTAGTGTAAATTAACATGGGAAGGTTGCGAGGTGTCCGAGCTAAAAACGGTCGAGACCGGGTTCATTCGATAGAGAATGTGCCCTTTCTAGCAAACCTCGTCAAACCCAAACAGATGCCATGCCTCAACTTTCGACCCTGTGGGGCCGGGGTCTAACCCTATTTGTAATACGTCATTAAATTTAAATTGAATTTATTTTTATCGTAATTCATTTTGTTTTTCTTTAAATTTCTTTGGATTTATAAAAAAATTTTTTTTTTATTTTTTATTATTATGGTTGACAGCCAACTTATTTTCTCTCCTAAATTTTAATTAAAAATCACTCGAAATATAGATTGTTTAATGTCTTCTTCTGATCTTAGACCAATTGTCTCGTTTGAGGTAGTGCCTGAACATTGTATTCGAAATGATCAATTGGAATTGATTTTGGGCACCCCGATAAACCAGGTTATTTTGTTTAGAAAACTTTTTGATTTTTACTTGTTTTTTAGGTTATTAATGGAATCCAAAACGTCTACAGGACAATTAAAAATGTGGAATTAACTTATTGTACAAAGGTTTTTTTAACTTTTTAATTTATATAGAGTTCTTTTTGGATGCCCTTCCGCTTAAAGGAGTGCCGAAGTCTCTTGGAAGAGTGAACGTGATCCACGGCATAGGATAGTCCTAGGATAAAGAAAAAAAGCTGTCCTGGTATCCTTCCAACCAGAGTTCATGTCTCGCTCATTTTATTACTTGGGGATAATAATTAAATAACATAAGAGTGAGGAATAACTCTGACAATGAGACCTAAGCGTTGGAGGGTGTGGGATATTCAAAAACACTGTCCAATCTTATAATTAAAAAATAATTTTTTAAGGAACCTTTTGGTCGTGATATAACAATTACTCTTCAAAATAATGGTATTCGAATGTATTTTGATTCGCACAGTCAAGTATTAAGAATGATTGAATTATTCGATTTTTCACATGTTACATTACATTATTGGTATTTTAAATTGATTTAATTTTATTTTTAGAATTTATTTTTAAAGTCATAATGTATTTTCATCTCCTGAGGAGCCTGCAGATGTCGGAAAAGTTGAAAAATGTTTTGGAGCTACTGTTCCTGGAGGTTTGTAATTTTCGAAAAATTTGTTGAATTAAAAAATAAAATTTCTAGTTTACGACGAAAAACAACAAAAATACATTATGAATTGGCGAGGCAAGTTTTTTTTAGAGCTTTCTAAATTAAATTTTTAAGATTTTGGGAAGGCTGAGGATGGGTTGTCTTAAGGGTTGTCTTAAGACGTTAAAATAAATTTAGGATTTTGAGGTGTGTTTGGGTAGGTGTCTTATTTTTAGTTTTTATTATAGGGGTTTTGGTTACCGATTATTAACCGGTACCCTTGGGTTTGACCTGTTTTCGATCCCCGTTCTGTTCTGTCAACCTTCCGTCAATTAATTTAAATTAATTATTTTCTGGGCGTTTCATTCTGTTTCCCAGCCAAAGAAAGTTCTTCAGTTCAAGCTAGTTATGCACATGGACTAAGTTCACTCAGTTTTGCAAGTTCAGCACTTCCACAACTTGAAAGAATGACTTTATTTAACGGTCTATCTCCTGCAAAAATGAAGTTTTTTTAACTTTTAAAAATTTTTTAAAAATTAATTTAGAACACCAGAGATTCCTCAAATTGTATATTGTGGCAATCCAAGAATTGTTTTGGCAGAAAATATAAATTCGGAAGATGGACGTTTAATTGGACTTAAAATTAAATTTAAAATTGAAGGTTTTTTTTGGGCTTGAAATAATTTTAAAAAGAAATTTTTATTTTAGAAGTAACTGATCATTCGGTAGATGAACTTCAATTAGTTGAATTTGAAAGACCAATATTTTTTAATGATACGCAAGAGGTTTAATTTTTTTAATTTTTTTGGTAATATTTAATTTCGCCTTTCCTCTTTTTTTCTTTTTGGGTTGTTGAAAGACCAAACCCCACTTAAGGATGCCAAAATACCAAATTGGAAAATAAAACAGACATGAGTATTTGTCAATTTTGTAAGAATTTTTCAATAAAGGTGAATGTTGCTCCGTTCCGCATTTTGGTATTTCGGCATGTCTTTTGGGGGGTTGATATTACCGCATCTTCACTTTTTCCTTCCTCAAAATATTAGTTTTAAAATGTCCAGTCTTCCTTTTTCATTTCGATCTATCAAACCTATCCTTATGTCATTCAACCAGTCTTGATTGAAGAATACATAGCTGTTTAGATAGTTGCGTCAAATAAATTAAGTTAATATGTTGAGGAAGGAAAAAGAAGAGGGATTCGAAATTGAATATTACCTAACTTTTTCTTTAAAAAAATTTTTTAAGGCGGTAATGACTAAATTGGGTGCTCCTTCAAAAATTTATTACAAATCTGAAGAAAAAATGTTAATACAACGAAGTACAACAGTCTCGGAGAGATTAAATGATGGAGAAGATGACAAGGCTGATTTCTTCTTTAATTACTTCTCGTTGGGAATGGTTGGTTTTAATTTTTTAAAGAATTATTTTTGGGTTTATTTTATCAAAAATATTTTTTTATAAAATAGGGGGAATGAAAAAAAATAAAATTCTTTTGAGCTAAAAATATTTGTGAAAGAGAAGAGAGAGGCGTTTGAATTAAATATGATTTTTCTTTTTTGGGGGCAATAAAATTTCAAAAAATTTTTTCGAAAAAATTTTTTCCCCAAAAAAATTTTTTCCCCAAAATTTTCTTTTATTTAATTCAAATGTTCTTTTCTCTTTCTCAAACAAAGGTACTTTATGGATATGTCACCCCCCTCCTATTTTGAGTCTCAGAGTTTTCCTTAAACGTAGAAAATGGTCAGAGATTATTTTCTTCTCCATGTCAATCATTTTTCTTTTTTCAAGCAAAATAAGTGAAATGTGGTAAATGAAGAAACGAAATGAGTGAAATGTAAGTACAAAATATGTGAAAAGGCAAAATAAACAAGCAAAATACTTGAAGAAGAAAAAAATGATTGGCATGGAGAAGAAAATAATCTCTGACCATCTTCTACATTTAAGGAAAACTCTGAGACTCAAAATAGGAGGGGGGGTGACATATCCATAAAGTACCCAAACAAATTTTTGAGATAATTTTTTTTTCAAAAAAATTTTTTTTATTTAATTTATTTAAAAAGTTAACATAGTCCTTCTCTCTTCCTCTTCTTGGGCAATTATTCTTCCCTTCCCAAAAGTTTTATATTCTTCGTAAATCTTTTTTTCTTTTTCTCTTGGCGCGACGCAATTATTATTAAAATAATTATTTAAATTCTCTTCTTTAAATGTATTTTGTTGAATTAATAATGGTTGTTGTTGTTGATTAATTATTCGAAGCAGATTTGTTGGGGGTAAAGGTTGGGGTATTGATATTTGACTTCTTGATGTTGATTGGGGAATTTGGCATTCTAATAGTGTTGAGGGAGGAGAATTATCTGTGGATTTTTTGAGGGATGTAAAATTATTTTTTTGGGATGACTTGTTTTAAGATAAGGGATAGATATTTATGGTGAATTTTTTATCTCTGGAAGATCTTGTTTTATTTATCTATTTTTTGGAGCTTTTTTTGGAGATCTGTTTGAAATTTTTTATTTTTGGATGGGGGAGGGGTTGTATGGGATTAAAAAATTTTTGGAAAGGGTAGTTGGGTATTTTTATGTTTTTTGCGAGGATTTAGTTTCATAGTTTTTTTTTATTTTTTTTGGGGTGATCCTTGAGGATTTCCTTATTTTATATTCTAATTTTGGGTATTGTATGTTTGGAATTAAATTGTCTTTTCTATAATTTATTTACCTAAATCTTTAATTGCACATTCTAAAGGTGATAGTCCACTATTTAAGGTCATTTTGCTTAAATCATTTGGAAGTGTTTTTGTTGTCGTTATTGTTTCATCATTCTTCTCATTAGTAATATAACTTCCTTTTTGTTTAGCATCACGTCCCCAATAAAGCAAAAGTATAAGAATAAGTGAAAGGAAAAATGCAGAAATTAATAAAGCTGAGAGGATTAAGACTAGTTCTGTGTTCTTTAAAGAAGAAAATTTGAAAAAATATTTGAAAGGAAAAGAGAAGATATAGGTAGCTGGATAGTGCGCTTACTAGGCGAGGGTTTTAAGAGTTATTATAAGGAAAAGATAAAAGTCCTCCGATAGCTCATGTCAGTCGGTAAAGCTCCTGTATCAGTGAGCGTGCGCCTAACTAAAAAATAAATTCGCGAGTTTGGGAATAGGATGGCACGTTCCCTGATCTGTACGTGGTGAGCTGTAAACTGTCAGGTCACACGATGCCCGGGGTTAAGAGTTACCCGGGGCCTCTTTTAGCTAAACGTTTACCTGAGTTATTCCAAAATTACTTCCAAAGATAATAGCACAATCATTTATTTTTTGTACCCGATGTAATGGTTGTCCTTTTAAAAGTTGAGGAACATTGCAAAGTGTTTCATCAAAGCGTAATTGTTCTTGAAGTGGCAGTCGTTTTAACATGTGTAATTGTAAACTTTGTGCGGCACATTCACAATCCCAAGGGTTGTGATGGAGATAGACTAGGTTTAAATGATCCACAAAATCTAGCAATAAATGAGGAAGTTTGCTGAAAATTTGGGTGAAAATTTCTTTTGGAATTTTATTTAGTCGAGCCTCTCAGGATTCGTTAGTTGGGGTGAGATGGTCACTACCCTCCGCCTACTGTCCAACCAAAAATTTACCCTTGAGCAGTTCCCCCATCTTTGTGGCTTACCAATATTAAAAAAAGGCGTCTCTTAAATGGAGGTTTATCTAGATTGGAGGTACTTTATAGATAGGTCCGATTATAAAACTAATTTACTACCTAAATTGATTATTAGAAATGTCCAAAACTTTTAATTGAGGCAATAAAGCATCTAAATTTGGTGGTAAATGATCTAATCCATTAGTTGATAAATTCAAGAATTTTAATTTTTGATATGATTTTGAAAGACTGTAAGGAATATTATTTAAAGAACAATCTGCCAAATGTAATTCCTTTAATCTTGGAAGTGTTGAAATTAAATTTAAATTCATTTCAATCTGATTTCCACTTAAATGAAGTTTTTCTAACGTTGCTTGGGCTCCTGAAAGTTAGTGTGGTGTTTAGCGACTCTTCTAGTTTGATTAATTGGGTGTGTGTGATTGTGGTCGGGGACTGAGGATATCGGGGAATAGCGTGTCGGGATTAGGAGTCAAGGATGGCCTAAAAATCATTCCGAGGAACTGGGCATGTTAGAATCAGGGAATGACCTAAAAATCACGTCTTAGACGTTTCGGGGACCACCAAACCCAATCCTACCTGAAAGTATTGAAGAATCAAAGTGTCGAAAATGATTCCATCCTAAATCTACTTCAATTAATTGTGTGTCAGCAAAAGCTTCGCGATGGAAAGGTTTTGAATTCGATAATCCCAATAAATTTCCTTCAAGAAGCACTGTTGTTATATTCATCCCACAAAAGGCACAAGGGCCAATTGAACGAATTAAATTTTCGCGTAGATCAAGAATTTGTAGAGAAGGTAGAGCTCTAGAAGGATTAAAAAATTTTCTGAACATTTTCCTGTTTTTACCTAAGCGAAGCACTAGGAACTTGTGTTAAATTATTGCTAGCTAAACCAATTCTCTTCAATTTTGGAACTACACTCAAATTCAGTGACCAAAGCTCCGCGTCATTTAAGCCACAATTATTTAGTTCAAGCCTTTCTAGTGATGTTACATCCGGAAGTAATTCGTTCAATTGTTTGGCACTTAATTTGTTCCCGTCCAATTGTAATTCTTTTAAATGTCTTGGGCCTCGAAGTAAATTGCCTGTAGAAAGGTCTGGGCCTCCTAGTCGATTATGGCTAAGGCGGAGATAGCGAAGATTCTTAAAAAAATTCTGAATTTTGAAAATTTCCGATTCTGGAAATTCTGATTGCAATTCTGAAAAAATTCTGATTCTGAAAATTCTGAAAAAATTTCTGAAAAAATTCTGATTTTGCAATTCTGAAAAAAATTCTGATTCTGAAAAATCTCCTTATAAGCCGTAATACCTTTAAATAAATAAAAGCTCCAGTTGAGAGTGCACTTATTCTATTACCACTTAAATCCAGCATTTCTAACATTGGCATACCAACAAAAGACCCAAGCTGAATTTGTTCCAGTTCATTACCCATTAAATAAAGCTGTGAAAGTAGAGGTAATCTAATAGACTGAGAAAGGGCAGGCATTGAACAATCGACTAAAGCAAGATGTTGAAGACGGGATAGTCGATTTAGATTGTCTGACCTTTAAAGAGATAAAAAGAAATTTGTAGCGATTGATATATAAAAGTAAGCGTCAGTCTAGTTGGATCATGCCAAGGGTCCTCTCAACCCAATTCCCGATATTGTAAATTTATTTTTTATGTCGGCAAGATCCTTGGATCGTACTAGTCCGGCTATTCCCTGTTCTACTTTGTCGGATTCAGCCTCAATCCATCTTAGCCTTCACCTTCTCCCATTAAACTGTTAGTGTTATGCTCGGCAAGATTTCCAAGATCGTACTAGCCCGGCTATTCCCTGATCTCCTTTGTCTTATCCAGCCTTACTCTCTTCACCTTACTCTCTACTTTGAATAAACTTAGTGTTATGTTCGTTGGCTTTATTAAACCTTCGGACAGACCCTCGGTCATAAAGAAATTTTTTCAAAAAAAAATTTTTCACCAATGCAATTTATTTGGTTTCCCGGGTGCCCCACGTATTTCCAAATGTTCAACATCAACAGGCACATTTTGTAGTAATGAAAGAAATTCGCTATCATTCATAGATCCTTTTAAACATCTAACTGAAAGGCCAACAAATTGTGAATATTCTTCCTCATCTTCTTCCTCTTCACTTTTATTTTTTGGAAGACTATCCATTCCGGTGATTTTAGCTCTCCCAATTCTTTGGCATTCACATTTGGATGGACAATTTTCAAGTATTTGTTGTGGTTGTGTTATGAAATGGTCGTCAGTATTAAATGTTGTTGAAAGTGCTGCCAATGTTTCTTTATAAATTGAAGCTAATTGGGCGAGAAAAATTATTGTGGGAATAATAAGGGAGGAAGTCTGCATTTGTATGTAGTTGCTACTTTAAAAAAAAATTGGATTTTTAGGTTGAAAATTTAAGAAAATTTTTATTTTAAAAAGAATGAACGAGTTGAAGGATTGGTTAAGCTTTTGAGGGTTGTAAAGTTTGTGGCGGTTTTTTTTTAATTTTTTTTCAAAAAAAAAATTGTTTTATGAACAATTTTTGAATGGACAATTTAAGGCGTGTTTCCACGTAAAAAATATTTTTCCCCTAAACTTTCAATTAATTTCTAAAATGATTTTGTTTTGAAAATGCTTTGTTTTCGTTTATTTTAATGGATATAATCATCAAAAATTCATGCATTTTTAACAAATTTATTTTTGGGACTATTTAGGAGAGTATATAATCGAAAAATAAATAAATTATGGACAGACGATTATTATTTTA